AAAAAAAAAAAAAAAAAAAAAAAAAAAAAAAAAAAAAAGAGCAGAGAAAGGGACCATTTGACTGGAGGGTGTTGGGAGATTGATCTTGGAGAGGATGAGCCATCGAAGTTCATAGATATATGTATAAATATTTTATGAAAAAAAAATTGGACTTCTCCTTTAAAGGACTGGCCAGTCCATGGCGTGATTAGCAAACTCAAAAAAATAAGTCTTTGCTGAAATGATGGAATTAGGAAATTCTTGGCAACATCTTCTCAATAATGTCAACAATCTTGTTGATCTTAAAGCCTGTGACGAGTTGTAAGGCTTTTCTCCTATTGACACATCCTAAAAAGCCTTCAGAATTACCCTCTAATTCAAACTCCAAAACATGATGTTGAAGGAAGAAGTTTATTTTTTGAGAGTGAAAATTGTTGGGACGTGGAGTCTAATGCCTATTTACAGTAAAGATATATTTAGTAAATTGAAATCCTATAGGCAGTGCTCACATACTTTTCTTCATTATCTGTATTCTCTCTTGTTGTACATGCTGAAGTCATCAATAAAACTTTTAGCCAATATTCCTTCTTGTATTTTCTCTCTCCTATTCTTTGTGTTCATCTTGATCGAGGGTGCGTTGTTGAGCGATCCTAACAAAAATCTCTCGAATTGGAGGAAGGAGATGAAAATTTCCAACTAATATAGAATAGTTGACAGCAAAAGGAAGAAAATCTTTTCTCTGAAATCCCAAGTCTGGATGGCGCATCCTTATCAACAACCTTCAAATTGAAAAAGAAATTCTTTTTTTGTTCAAAGACAATTTAGAGAAAGGGGATTAGTTTTCTAGCTTCAAAGTCGAAATGGATCCAATTTCCAGGGCTCAAAGCTCACCTTTCAAATCTGACTTCAAAGGAGGAATTTTTTGTTTGCTATTTATGGCTTGGTTTCCAGGGTCTCAATGGATTTATTTGTTGAATTCTTCAGCACAAAAAAAAAGTCTTAGAAGCATCCTTGTAAACATTATGAAGGTGTTCCAAATATATATTATTTCCCAGGATGGTATCATTCAGAAGTTTTTGAAGGAAGCCATCTTTACGACATCTCATGGAGATCATATGGAAGAATAGTAAAAGACTTTTGCCCTGTCAGCCTGCCTATCCCTTGCTTCTCTAAGATTATAGTTGATCAGCTTAAGAAGGAGCTCTGTGTACTTCACGATCAATTTTTTTTTTATTATTATTATGCAAAGTTTTGACTCTTGCTTACTATTAAACGAGCTCATAAATGAATGTCCAAAGTAAGAAACATAGGCTTTTCCAATTAAAAATTTTTAGGCTAAAGGGTTTGGGAAGTACTTCCTTTTTAAGGACAAAGGTTTGTAGAAGAAATTGGGGAAGGTGATCTATACTTGCATTTCTAGTGTAAACTCTTTATCATCATCAATGAAATCCTAGAGCCATAGCAAATCAGCTCATAGATGAATATGTTTAAAGAAAGAAACGGAAGCATTTCCAATTAACATTTCTTGAAGGCTAAAGGTTTTGGAAAGAAATTCCTTTTAAGGGCTAAAGGTTTTCAGAAGAAATTACGGAAGTTGATCTATACTTGCCTTTCTAGTGTAAACTCTTCCATCTTCATCGATGACAAACCTAGAGATATAGTCTTTACTCTTAGAAGTATGAAGCATGGTAAGCCTGTGCTCCCTTCCTCTTTTGTTATTGTAGCTGATTCCCTTTAGTAGGCACTTTTCAAGAGGCCTCCAAAGTGGCTACATTATGGGTTTTCAATGTGGAAAAGAATGTTGTCCAAGTTCCTCATCTTCGGTTTGCTAATTGCTAATGTATCCTTCTTTTCTCCTCTCTTTCCAAGGAATAAGTGCTTAATATTTTGAATATCATCAAGATTTGTAAGGAATCTTCAGATCTAGATACTATCCCATCCACAACAAAGCTCCTTATTTTAGATTCCATAATCATATCTAGAGAATTTGGATTTCCACCTACTTTTGCTTGCCTCTATACAGAAATCCTAAGACTTTTTTTTTTGTGTGTGTGTGTAGGAAATCAATCCTCCATTGAAAAAAAATATCAAAGAATACAAGAGCATAAAAAAAAAAAAAACAATCCCAAAAGATGAAGAACAAGAGCCAAAACTAACTAGAAATGTCTCCCATCCAAAAGGACTAGACCAAAACCATAATTAAAAACGATCGAGTGACCAACACCCACTAGAAAATATTAAACCTAACAAGCTCCCAAACCTCCTCATTCAACTTCTTGCTGTGTGATAATTCTATTGTGTCTCTTAAGCTAGCTACCCCTATAAAACAACAAAGAAACTAGCTTTCCACAATACCGTGCCTCTCTCTAAAGGGTGGATACGCCTGCACCTCTTCTAGCAATGGCTGTCTATCTCTATTACACTCCGCACCCCACTAAAACCAAAAAAACTCGTCCATCGACTCCAAAGGAAGTTAGCAAACTGGAACTCCCACAGTAAATGAGCTAGATCCTCCACATGCCTCTTTCTTTCAATTTTGATAGATGGAAAAAAAAAAAAGAAAACTCCCCTTCCAAAGGTTGGCAGTCCCATCCTCATCTTAGGTGTCCTTGTAAACCTTCCAACTTACTACATTGACACAATTTTAATGAATTCCTTTTGGGAGCAAACATTGAACGAAGGAGGCTCTCAATTTTTATTTATTTATCTTTTTTTTTGGGAACAATTATGATCTTGGTTTTGTTCTTTTGGATTGGAGTCATTTTTTGTAATTGGATGTTGGGCGCCATTTTTTTCAGGATTGATTTTTTGTATGCCTACGTAAAGATTGGTGCAATTTTATTTTTAGTTGACTTGCATGTAAAATGATGCTTCGAAATACATCCATCTGAAGATGGTTCATTCTGGAGCCAATGAATTTTCTCCTCCAAATTTTCCATATTTTTATACTTCTGTATTTGTACTTTGGAAACATAGACGCTCTGCCTTTTGGTTGTTACCTTGGAATTCTATTTTGTATTTCTGTTCTGTTCTCGTTCTTGTTTATATATTGTTTTTTTTTATAAAACGAAAAATTACCCATTCTTAAAACATCTTTTAAATTGTTGATATGTGTTCTTAATTCGTAGTATTCCTTCTTTCCAGAATGAGGCTGTTCTGAAGGCATGTTCGGAGCCACCTCCGCCTAAATCTTCAGGAGATGGAATTAGTCAAGTTGAAAAAAAGGAGTAAGAACTCCATAGGATCCAAAAGAGTTTGACAACTTCGGCATTGCCGTGTCAGTTTTCTTTTTTTCCTATTTAGGCCTTTTAGAAAGGAAGAGTAAACATTAAGTAGGTTTGAGCAATGTCGAAAGTTTTCATCGTCGTATGTAAGCGATAACAATACACTATTGTGCAATTCCTGACCTGGAGTTTCACACTTCAGGATTTAGTTCTTCACGGTCCTTGCTCCCTCATGAATGACTCTTTTCTTTCAGTAAAGATATTTGATATTTAGCTTTCTGAGCAATTTCACTATTGAAGTTTAGGGCTGAAAATGTCTGAACTGCAGGAGGCAAGCCTTCAAGAAAAATTCCACCCCTTCTATTGTTTGTGCAGTGCATTTCTAACTGGTTGCAACCCCTAAAAACACGAGATAGATTGTCTAATTGAGTAGAACAAGCCTTCTTGTATTGGATGTGAGTGACATGAACTTCACATACAGTTCTAATTTGTTTAGTAGCAATTTCTGCTGATATCTCTAAAACTAAAGTTTTATAGGTTATTCTTGGGGATTTTTTCCCTTGATGGTTAGTCTGTTTGATTTCAGACCTCAACATTATGAGACCTTCACTTGTTGCTAAAGGTAAATTCAGTTCAGAAAGTATGGGTATAAACTTGTTTGTACAGTTTGATACTTAAAGCTTAACTTATATCATACGTTAGGTAGTACTCCTCTCCTAATGGTAGAAGATAGAGTATATGTGGGTGGGGTTGCCCTCCATCATGGAGATACCTCTCTTCATATCCACTTGTGTATCAGGCTGAACCATTTAAACTCTCAAAGTCTCTTGAATAACATTTTTTATGCAGCAGCTGTTTTCAGTTTGGTCGTAACTGCTGGGCATGAGCTGTGGCCAACTGCAGGTACTTTGATGCTCAGTTTTTCATTTACTTTTTAGCGTGCATTTCTTGAAAGTTTTTCCATTAAAGATTTGGAAATGCGTGTCTCAGAATGTCAGGCATTCACTAACCAACCATTGAACTGGAGAAGTATGTGTAGGTTGAACAAAACAAGGACATGAAAAAAGGAATCCTATCCTGATTGTTCTTGTTCCTCACTTGCCTACTGGACCCCACCAACCAGAAATTATCTGGGGCGGATTTATTTTACATTAAGATGATTTTTTTTTTCTCCAGTTATTTTGCAGAGATTCAGGGAGAAAAAAAATGGAGATAGATAAATGTCTTTGTTGCAGGGACGCAAAGCAACCTCTCTTATTTAATGTTTGTCCAAAACAAACAGCTTATAAGAGTGGTTGGGTGAAGAAGTGGTCAGCATACATAATTTTAATTGATGACAATTCCTTCTCAGATGGGTATTTCTTTTTGTTCTAAATTTCTGTATTTCCCTTTGCTTCATGGAGACTTCCCCTTACTATTGCCTTTTGATATGTTTCTAGGATTGGTAGGATTTTTCTTTAAATGTTATTGACCTTATTAGGTTAGCCTACATAAACAAAAAATTATGGAACAAAAAAAAAAAAAAAAAAAAAAAAAA